ATGACTTGCAGATTTCTGAATGATTCCTGGCCACAAGATGCTGGACAGATCGGGGATGATGTCCTGGGGCTACGTCAAGATTTGCTTCCTGGGGTCCGCATCTCATTTGACAGATATTCCAAACTACCAGCTGTAAACACTACTGTATGATGTCTGAATATATCTCCACTATATACTCTTTAATGTTGTTGAATGGTTGTTATTGTCAGTTGTTGCTTCTTGTTATTTGTCCAAATATCAATACCAATAGATACAAGTGCCCATTGTTTTTAATGGGCCTCTCATGTTCTAGTTCAATTCCCCACATGTCTGTTCGATAATACCCAGTGTTACAGTAGTTGATTTCCCATGTTTGCTTGTTTGGATAGCATTGAATATCCATTGTTATCGGCACAAATTACCCACATCTTTTTACTACACCCTCAAAATGTCTTGCTAACATCAAATATATATATATATATATGTACATGTATATATATATAGTTATATGTGTATGAATACATATATATATATATGTTTGATTATTGTTGTAATCGCTTCCCCTTCATATAAGATGCATCCGTAGAAAGCCTGGTCCAGTATTTGATCGATTCATTTGGGGAGCCCTTTTTGGGATCCACATCCGGCTGATGACCTCGCAGAGGTAGGTGCCCAGTGAAAGTTCGTATCTCTGCAGTACTTCATCTTGAGCCGCCATGAAATGCCTGAAACATGAAGAGACCATGTATGGGAACAGATATACTGGAGATATCTGGAGATATACTTTACTTTACTAGTATAAAAATCATCAGTATGTATTTGACTATTTGGAGATGCTCTTAACTATTTGACTATTTGGGAATGTAACGGAGAAATTGAGATATGATATTCCGTTGAATGCAGGTATGATAGGAAAAGAGCTTTGATGGGCGACCTCCAAAACATCAAGGTTCTGCGGACATGGCGACCTTTAAAATTGGCCATAGAACATGGATGAACATGGACAATACTCAATAGCAGACCGACAGTATAGTGAACAATCGGTCACGGTTAGATATTTTACCATCACAAGGTGAGGATCACTCTCGAGAACCTCGCATGGCTAGAAATGGTCAACATAAGTCCAAGAGTATCCCTTCCTTGAGGACCAGTTCCAACCACTCTCATCCAGACTCTGACTGGGTCGCAGCTGCATGTTCTATCAGTTTCGGGCTACATAAGTATCCACTAATTATTGGTTCATGCAGTTCATGCTGAGCTTTAACTCCTTTACATCATTTTACAACCATTCACGTGTTTGCGTCTCAAACGTGCTTCTCCCAAACCAGTGCTTTTGAACCAAACGGAGGCCATTCTATTACGATGTATTATGCCTTAAACGTCCAATACGTACACTGAGTATGACTTGTCCTGACTTGAAGAGGAGATCTGCGGTTGGTGGGGCATACCCCCACCTTATGGATTCTAACAACACAAATTATTAATTATGATGTACCAGTGGCAGCAAATTCAAAGGCACCCTATTTCCAAACAAACCCACACTGCTGAAACTGACACTGCCCTGGTGAAATTTCCCAGGGAAAATGTTCTCCATCCTCCGTTCTTTGCCTCCGACCACGAATGATGTTGCGGAAGCGATGTGTAGGGCTCGAACGTGTTTGACTCAGCCATGGCAGGTCATGTTTCCTGTACAGATCTTTATGGCTGCTACAGTCTTAAAATTAACGGCCTTTACAGCTGTATCAATCAAGGCAGTTCGACTACTAGATCTTGAATCACAAAATTTACAACCATCGAAAGGATAGGAATTCCGTAGTTCTATCGCAATGCAATGTAGCATGCATATACGGTGTATAAAAAGTATGGGCTTTTTTTTAGTGTATGTAATATGTCATTATGTGTATATACTATAGAATACTAAAGTGATATTTATTGTTTGTTACATGTGTTATTGATATATATATATATATACAGAATATATATATATATTTACTGTATGTACAACTGCCAAAAAAGAAGCACTGTACAGTAATACCTCTCGGCTGCCCAGGTGCATATCAAAATCCATGCCGCAGATCTTCAGCCAATTCTTCAGCCCGGTGTCCGTGCTGTAGAGCAACCACCGGCCTGCCAAAAGGACCGACGGTCATCTTCGAAACATAGACAGATTGCTATGTTCCTAAAGAAAACATGGGACATCATGAGACATCATGGGATATCATGAGATATCTTGCCAAATATGGAAACATCATGGAAACATCCATGGTTCGTTCCTTTGAACAAACATCCGTATACATCGTCTTCCCATGGTCTCCGGTCACGCGCAGCGCTTGAACCTTCGATGAAGTACATCTGATGCCCAACGCCACCCTTGGTGAAGATGGTTTCCATGTGCCGGGTTGGTTCCTGGCCACATCAAGGTATGTCAGATGGAAGCCAAACATGTGGGAATCCAATTTATCCAATGGTTAAAGTAAATAAATACTCAGAATATGGTCACAAAGAATGAAGATTTGGAGTGCCATCTCGATTCTTGGAGTTGCAACTCAAACAGCTGTGATTTTGTGAAGAGCGCTGGCCAACAAATTCCTTTTTGCACCGTGCAAACGTCCGCGCTTCCGCCGCACCTGCTTGATAGCAGAGACCAACAAGGCCCTTATTGTTGAGCTGTACTCCCAGCGTAGAACTCTGAAGAGCCTGCAGAGATCTACAGAGGATGCTGATGGCAACAGGAATAATCATCGCATTTGAGGGGCTATCCAAATTTAGGATGATAAAAGAAACGGGGATGGTTCAAAACCCTGTACCGCTGGTGAACATCAAAATTGTCTGCAAATTTATGTGCATCCTCCTACAAATGCCGTTTTCAGATATGTCATAATATTTCCAAACATTGATCAATATCAGTTAAGTCTTCATTTTCGACATAATTACCTAGCTTGCTCAATGTTATGATCATGTCTTTAAGCAAACTCTGAGGGATTACCTATAGTATCTGCGGTTGTAGGAAGGAAGACTTGTTTCAGTGCGATGGGATTCTAGACCGTCACTTGAAGTTGTTGCCGCTTGTGCCACTTCTGTTTGCATGGTTGCCGGATGAATGTACATTCCCAAGCTTGCCAGAGAGCCCTCTGATGGTTTGACTAAATGTAGGCCCCAAACGAAACAATTTAGCCATCAACATCTTATAGGGGATCACGAATAGATGGCATCTTCACTGCGCCCGGCAAGATGGCATATCAAGCGAATGTCACTTTCTTTTATGATGGCATACGAATAGGTGGGTGGCCCTTGTTTTGCCATCTTAGCGTGCCTGCCCCAATTGGAATAGCAGAATCGCTACGATCAGTTCAAAGAAATCTAACTTATGCCATCTTAGTGTTAAAAAGAAAAACAATGTTTGCAACATTTTGCCAAAAACATGCAAAACCCATCAAAAACATCTTTTGGATACTTTTGAGGGATTGACCGGGGGTTGCCCGGGAACACTAAGATGGCACATATAGCCTGAGATGCAACCCTTATAGCCTATATATGCAATCTTAGTGTGATTTTTGGTTCTGCCGACGCGAGAAATGCGTGTCACAGACCCCTTTGTGCCATCTTAGTGTGGCAAAATAACGTTTCGTTTTGAGGATTGTTTTTTTCCCGTATTGATGGCATACGAATTAACTTTTACCGGAGCCACCAATCCGTGACCTCCTGTAAATCCATTCTGCAGGATAATAGCCGAAACATGTGAATTGCAAAGGCTAAACATGTTGCCCAACTATCTCCTTAAAATACCACCCCTTTCTCAGCACAGTAGCAGTACCGTCCCACTATGTCACGACATGGGTCCATAGTCCTCCCGTCGCCGAGCCACGGATGATTGGAAAGAAGCGGACAGCGCACCTGGGTTGTACCGCCGGACAGCCAAAGCAGGGCCCCGGGCTCTTCCTTTTGGGGTTCCATGGGATTTTTGTTGGAGATTTCCTGGTGCTTCATGGGATAAACCAACCGGATTTACTGATTTACCTGGTATATCCTGGGCTGGGATGAATTGGTGATTGAATGACATTGAATGGTGATATGATGTGATATGCCTTAAGCATTATTTGGTAATTGATTGGTGATATAACTTAACCATACTTAACCACCATGATGGATTCTCATATAACTTAACCCTCTGGAAATTTAACGTAGCTATTGAAAATGACCATAGAAATAGTGGATTTTCCCATTAAAAGCATGGTGATTTTCAATGGCTATGTTAAATTACCAGAGGGTAACCCGCAACTATGAGACTTCTGGGGGTTTCATATGGCCATTGCATCAAGCTCTGCTCGAAGATCTCGAAGCCCCCGAAAGCTGGTGGATGATTCAAGGTCGTTTAACAACTGCTTGAAAGAGCCATCCTCCAAAAAGAGCAATACTACTAGACAGTATAATATATATATATATGTAAATATGCACAGTATGTGTATATGTATATGTATATGTATATGTATATGTATATGTATTGTGCAATAGTATATATATATATAACCGTAACCTTCTGGGACTTCATCCTATATCAGGATCGATACGGGAGTTTCCTTGATGCAGCTATGGGGTAGATAAGGTATATACTTGGGGCCCTGCCGCATGCCACACATCCCCTTTCAATGCCAAAATGCCTCTGACAATAGGTCGGCCTGGCACCAGAGGTGGTCCAGATGGACACAGTTATGGCTAACAGTTCGGAATGGGATTGTAACTCATGTAACTAAGGATATATTATATATATTATATATATACACAATATTGTAGGCCCGTTATAACTGTTGAGGGCTATATATAAGGCTATAATTGTAGACTTAGGCCAACACTTTTTTGGCATCCGGGTTTGTCTGAAAATCAAAAATCCCATTTTTCATCGCCATGTTCCCATGATACAACATTATCATAAATTGGGGTGTCACTGGTATCACCGATTCATAAAAAACCATTTCCTGCAAGCACCGCTTCCAGTTGCTGAACAGCGCTTCAACACGCAGCAGTTTTTCTGTTCGTCGCCGCTGTCGGTGGGTCTTTCACGATGTGGAGGCCTGGGAGTCATGCTGTTTCATTCCCTTTGACGGGTAAGAAACCCCGTAGTTGGAGATATGTTGTATTCCATTTACAAACTACAGGGGGAGCCATCATGAGCCATCACTCGGAAACATTCTTCTTGTTGCACACACCACATCGGTGTTGACACAGCCCAGTGACTCAGTGATTGGACCAGAGGCAATGTATCTTATTTCAACATAACCCATAGCGGCCATAGCGTGTTACGATGACACCGCTGTCTGGCCGCAAAAGAACCAGTTCTCCCATTTAGTCCACAAAGCAGACCAAAACCTGTCACCATCTTGAGATCACTTTCGCAAACGAAATGCGACTGTCGCCCCCCGCCAAGCGACCGATTTCTTCTCCGCATCTTCAGGTAAAGCCTGACACCGGTGCTGGTCACCCGTTCCTTTAAGGAAGAATTCCTGGGGGAAACCCCAGTGACAGTCGTCGGGATTGGTTCAGTGATGCACACCATGGCAGTTGTGACTCGGTCCATAACTTTGATGGCTAAATCTCTGTGGTAAATCCAATCATATAAAAAACAACCTAACCATAAATAAATGAATGGCCACATTCTCAAATTCATCTCCAAATGGTAGGTTTATTCTTGGCTTTACCCTATTCTATGATATATCTACGGATATAAGTATACCTGCTGGTGTCTCGCCACTAGTTCGGCCAGCTCCCCTACAAGAATCGCCTCCAAGTCAGCGTGCGCCTTGTCCTGGGCCGTGCTCCGGAGCCCCGTGGGACCGGAAATTATGCAGACATGTATGATACAAGCAATATACGTGTTCATACAGAAATTCAATGACATTGTACCTTTCTTGTTCTGCATCTGAATATATGAATGTATACAAATAGATTGGTACGTATATTATATAATATATATATATACACATATATACATGGATAAACAAAAATAGTATGTATATGTATATGCATGGATAAAGAAAAATAAACAACCATCGTAGAGAAAAACACATATTTTGAGTGCTAATTACCAAATAATTTTAAGCAAGCATATGTAAACCTAGACCAACATGCAAATGTACATTTGTAAATATATAGAATAAACAACATGTGCATATCTGGCTGTATATCTCCAGCCTTCAACTGTAAATAATTTACAGTTTGTAGGACATGTCGTCTTTAATGATTTGGATATGATTTTGGCAAGAGCCTTCAAAAAGTTATATGTATACGTATATATATATATATATACACATTACGTTACATTACTATGTATTATTATGTGATATTAAAGTAACAAAAGAAATCGGATTGAAATTCTAAATAGACGATTTATGTTAACCCCCTTTACCCATGTCTAAACTCGCAGCGTTAACCTTCATCCAAAAAGCAACACTGACTGACAATGAGAAAAACATAGAAAAACTCTAGAGATCTGGCCAGTCAGAACGCCAAAAAGTAGTTGGAGTTTCATCCTGCTACTGTGTCCGCAGCACCGATTTGCAGATGATTTGGGACCCCCTGTGTGTCACGGGCCAGGTGCGGCCAGCAATGACTTGGTGTGGCCAAAAACTCACAGAAGTGCAACCCAGTTTCGAAGTCCCACACCTGCTGAAAACCCATGGAGACACAAAAGCCTTTGAATTCTGCCAAGTCCGACTTGACACCAAACGAGTCACCTTGCAAGACCAGATAAAGCTCTGATCATTTTGAGTTAGCGAAAAAACACAAAAACTTTGAAAAGGATTTAACACTCCTCTGCAACAGGCTTTATAGTCCAACCAATCTAGACCCTGGAAGTAAACATCAACATGAGTACATTGCCCTTGAGAGTGGAATAACGGATGTTATATGCTGAATCATTCGATATATGTGTTTGCATGATTTCGTACTCGTAGCATATTTATCCATATTCCATATATAAAAAATTACAAGCATTGCAGTAATGTTGATGGTTTGTACCGACTAATACTAGGCAAATAAAAGTCATCGACTCTAAGTGGATGGTTCAGCGTGAATGAATCTGAATAATGGATGATCAATGAATCAAACCTGGATCTTCAGTTGCTACATGTTTTTTGATTGTTTTGAGATTTGTTCGTTTCCAAAATTTCTAAAAACGATTGGACATTGACATGCTCGATGTTTTGAAAAGATGCTCCTTCAAGCTTTATTGGCCATTATTTTTTCTGAATTTGCGCCCGAATGCGGGTATGTGCGCTCCATTGCGTTTATTCGCGCCGGAACTTGCGGCTAGCTTTTGTGGCTCCAAATCGTCTCAGATAGTGAACATGTTCGCTATTTGTGATGTTGATAAGGATCCTGGATATATGCCCGAATGACCCAAAAGTACAAGGTGGTAAACAAATAATGTAACAATTGAAGACTCAGGAATTTAATAAACATGTTTGTTTTTGCTTCAATGAGTCCCAGTTTTTCACCCCGAAAAGCCCAACTGCTGCTGGATTTTTAGTTCGTCGGCAACGCGTGGGCCGCAGAGTTTTGATCGGGAAAATCATCATCCATGTCTTCATTTAAGAATTAATTTAATAGCAATAATTGATATTTGAAGCAATCTTCATTTACATTTTAATATTGATACATTTGATACATAGCTAGGTAGGTAGACAGATTGAAAGGTAGATTGATCCAACAGTCGATAGATGGATGGACGGATGAATGGATGGATAGACTAGACTCATCTCGACTCGATTGGATTGGATTAAGATAGATAGATAGATAGATAGATAGATAGATACATAGATAGATAGACAGACAGATAGACAGACAGATAGATGAGGATAGATAAGGATAGATAAGGATAGATAAGGATAGATAAGGATAGATAAGGATAGATTAGGATAGAAAAGGATAGATAAGGATAGATAAGGATAGATAAGGACAGATAAGGATAGATGAGGATAGATAAGGATAGATAAGGATAGATAAGGATAGATAAGGATAGATTAGAATAGGTTAGGATAGATAAGGATAGATAAGGATAGATAAGGATAGATAAGGATAGATAAGGATAGATAAGGATAGATGAGGATAGATAAGGATAGATAAAGATAGATAAGGATAGATAAGGATAGATAAGGATAGATAAGGATAGATAAGGATAGATAAGGATAGATAAGGATAGATGAGGATAGATAAGGATAGATAAAGATAGATAAGGATAGATAAGGATAGATAAGGATAGATAAGGATAGATAAGGATAGATAAGGATAGATAAGGATAGATAAGGATAGATAAGGATAGATAAGGATAGATAAGGATAGATAAGGATAGATGAGGATAGACGAGGGTAGATAAGGATAGATAAAGATAGATAAGGATAGATAAGGATAGATAAGGATAGATAAGTATAGATAAGGATAGATAAGGATAGATGAGGATAGATAAGGATAGATGAGGATAGATGAGGATAGATGAGGATAGATGAGGATAGATAAGGATAGTTAAGGATAGATAAGGATAGATAAGGATAGATAAGGATAGATAAGGATAGATAAGGATAGATAAGGAGAGATGAGGATAGATAAGGATAGATAAGGATAGATAAGGATAGATTAGGATAGATAAGGATAGATAGGATAGAATAAGGTAGATCCAGAATAGAGATAATAATAGAAAAGACTATATAAGGATAGTAAGGATAGATAAGATAGATAAGGATAATAAGGATAGATAAGGATAGATAAGGATCGATAAGGATAGATGAGGATAGATATGAATATATTAGGATAGATTAGGATAGATAGGATAGCAAAAAGGACAGAAAGGGATAGATAAGGATAAATAAGGAAAGATAAGGATAGATAAGGATAGATGAGGATAGAAAAGGATAGAAAAGGATAGATTGGGATAGATAAGGATAGATAAGGATAGATGAGGATAGACGAGGGTAGATAAGGATAGATAAAGATAGATAAGGATAGATAAGGATAGATAAGGATAGATAAGTATAGATAAGGATAGATAAGGATAGATGAGGATAGATGAGGATGGATAAGGATAGATAAGGATAGATAAGGATAGATAAGGATAGATTAGGATAGGTTAGGATAGGTAAGGATAGAAAAGGATAGATAAGGATAGATAAGGGTAGATAAGGATAGATAAGGATAGATAAGGATAGATGAGGATAGATGAGGATAGATAAGGATAGGTTAGGATAGATGAGGATAGATAAGGATAGATAAGGATAGATAAGGATAAAAAAGGATAGATAAGGATAGAAAAGGATAGATAAGGATAGATAAGAATAGAAAAGGATAGATAAGGATAGATAAGGATAGATAAGAATAGATAATAATAGAAAAGACTAGATAAGACAAGATACGACAAGATAAGACTAGATTGGACAAGACAAGACAAGATTAGAGAAGATACGACAAGATTAGACAAGATACGACAAGATAAGACAAGATTAGACAAGATTAGATTAGCTGAGATTATTAGATAGATGGATAGAGAAATATACAGAGAAAAAGATAGATAGATAGATAGATAGATAGATAGATAGATAGATAGATAGACAGATAGACAGACAGATAGATCGATCGATGGATGGGTTGATAGAAAGATATAAACATCCCTTCACAAGCCAATCCTTCCCCATGGCCGTCATCTTCCCATGGCCTGCTTCACTCAGGTTTCGGTAGACCTTGGTCAACGCCTGACCCATGGCCAGAAAACCAGTGGCTGGATAGATGGCCAGCTGATAGCCCAACCTGAGCAGGCGAAGCCTTGAATAAACAGTTCCAAATGGGGTTGTGCATTCGATAAATGGGGTGACTTACCGACTTATAACTGGTAAAGGGCTGGGCCATACAAAAAAATGGTTTGAAAGACATTGTCTAAGACACTCATTGAAAGTAACAATCTATTCACATTATGTTGTTGAGAAGACATTCACTTATCGAATCATGCAATCCCAAGGTGCTGCTTGAGGTCATCTCCAGAGTCGGTACCGTCGTCAAGGCACCAAAGGACACTGAAAATGGATTGCCAATCCCCAAAGTCGCCGGTTTTATCTTGATTTTTCTCCCTGACATGTTTATTTTGGGCATACCGCGATCCTCAAACAAAGCCAAAATTCAGTCAGCCGAGGTTGCAACCAAGTCACTCAATTAATCTCTGCTTGCTACAGAGTGGAGTTTTACCACCTCACTCTCTCTGAGTGGTCGACAGTTCGGCCGAAGAATATCTTCCAGTTCTTCAATATTCTTTTGCAAGTAACCTGCCAGAAATCTAATGTTCTTGCGGTTCCATTGAGACTTCTTTTTGTAGCCTCTGGTAATCAACCATGGCTGGCTGGAAATCCCCCCACAGTCCATTATTTTCCGATTAAAATCCCATTTGTCTCAGATTTTCCCATTAGCCATGTTTGATTACCAAAGGGTGTTAACCAATACTCCGTTCATATCCCATATCCCATGAATATCTCATTATATCATATTATATCCCCACATTCTACCACCATTGAAGTTGGTTCATGCTAACCCCCAGTCCGTCAATCTCCCCAAATCTGCCCTGCCTTCCACGCAGTTCACCAAGAGCGGCTTCCCAGTGTCCGCCAATGAGCTGCAAATGGAGGCCATTTCGGCCTGCGAAGTTGCGCGAAAAATGGAGAGACGAATCCAATGAAACAAATCTGACATGTAAGTAATATATATATATATACATATATATATATATATAGTGATGTATAGTAATATATAGTAATATATAGTAATATATAGTAATATGTAGTAATATATAGTAATATATAGTAATATGTAATTAGTAATATATAGTAATACATAGCAATATATAGTAATATATAGTAATATATAGGAATATATAGCAATATATATCTAGATATATCTATTATCTATTAATTATTGATTTATCTACATTTTTTTAATTGAATTTACTATATAATATAATATACATATATAGAGATGCATACACTCGGCCATGATGGCAACGGAAAAAAATGGAGACCCGGCGTGCTAAAAAAACATCTCACACGTATGGATAAGTGGACGGATCTCAGATCATTTCACTCAGAAAAATGACTTTGTGTATGGATATAATTAAAAAATCATCACCCATGAGACCACATTTTTTGGTAATGTTTAGAAACAAATATCCCTTTTTGGTGGTACACAATTTTCACCCATACCTATATTCTTGGGTACAGCCATGTTTGGGATGATTTATGATATCAATCTTACTAAGGGGATTTTCACAACGCCATATGAAAGTTTCCTCAAAACGACGTTCCCCAAATCCTTCAAGTCATCATTCGACCATTCTAGTATTGAAACCCATGGTTTTAGCGAACCCCCATTTTCAGCAACCCCCAAATGTCCAAATATGTCCAAATGGATCCAAATGGTACCATTGTGGATCCCTACCTTCCGATGTCTCAGAAACGTCTGGCCGCACCGCCCGGCGTTTCACCTCCGACTCGGGCGCTTCAACGAAGAGGATATCGGCCCCGGCTGCTGCAAAGGCTCGGGCACGACGCAAGGCCTCGTCCAGACCTACAAGGAGACGATCGATGGATGGATGGATGGATGGACGGACGGATGGATGGATGGATGGATGGTGTGTGCGTATGATTTATGCATATGTATATATATATATTATGTGATGGATGGAATTCAAGAATGAATTATATCTGTTAAATTTATATATGGAACTTGAATTTAGAGTTTATGCTTGGAATGTATGTGTCAAATACAACACTACATCTATATGGAAGCTATATGTGAATATACATATATATATATATAATGTGTATATATATATATGTACCCAATTTATAGTGAGTACATATACATATATATATATACACATCCATTTACGTATGTACATAGTTTTAGTGCGAAGGGGATACATGACCACCTGTGATTGGCATTGGGGAAACCCATTACGTGGCAAATGCAATGGGTAAGCATGCCGATGAACCATTCAAGGGTATCCTGTTTTCACACAAGCCCAAGCATAGGTGGCACAAAGATTTCCAGGAGCATTGGCAAACATTCAATATACCATATTTATTTGATGGTTTATACCAAATGATACAATCAATATTGCGTACTTGCTGCAATATGTATTCATGTGTACACACACATTTATATGCCTACAACTGTCTTATACACATACATCAAAACAACAAAGTATAGATGGATATAGATGGTGATGATGTTACTCAGTTCTCAGTGGTTGACATATGGAGGTTTCCTAAAATTGGGAGTACCCAAATCATCCAAGTCATTAGACCCAGATGTTGGAGCTGGAACCTGCCATCCGCTCCGCGTTGAGGTCCTCACATCATAGAGCTACAATTCTGATCAATTCTGCAAATGTGTTTGTTGAAGAGATTTCTATGTATATATATATATATATATGATATAAAGAACTAATATATATATAAACCTCATAATGTATGTATGCATGTATGCATGTATGCATGTATGCATGTATGCATGTATGTATGCATGTATGCATGTATGCATGTATGCATGTTGTGTGTGTATATGTGTGTATGTGTGTATGTGTGTATGTGTGTACGTGTGTACGTGTGTGTGTGTGTGTCTGTGTGTCTGTGTGTGTGTGTCTGTGTGTCTGTGTGTGTGTGTCTGTGTGTCTGTGTGTATCTGTGTGTATGTGTGTGTATGTGTGTGTGTGTGTCTGTGTGTATGTGTGTATGTATGTATGTATGTATGTATGTACGTAGGTACGTAGGTACGTAGGTACGTAGGTACGTAGGTACGTAGGTACGTAGGTACGTAGGTTGTGACGTGCGTCGGTAGCTATATGATGGGCCCAAAAACGGCGCCAGGAGGCAGCTTACCCCCTGCCTCCTGGCGGTCATTTTGCGGTTGCGGGAAACTCATTTTCTCCAATTCAGGGGTCTTTATGGGGTTGCGGGAAACTTATTTTTTCGTATTCAGGGGTCTTTTTGGGGTTTTGGCCAGGTGTGATTGTCAGCCAGGAAGTGGCACAAAGGATAGGCGGTGAGGCTATCCATGAGTTGTGAAACCTTGTTTTTGCTGTAAAAAAATGTTGAAACTAATAAATGAAATCGACTGACATGGAAGAATTTCCGGAAAAACAATGCATTATTGAGATTTTTTCGTGCCGTGTCAATGATATCAAATTTCCACACGCTGTGGGGCTGATTTTTTAAGAATAGAAAGCACCTCTTGACGTTAAATTAAGATATTTGGAAATTTATTAATGGAAGAATTTCCGAAACCATCAATGATGTTCTTTCGTGCCGTGTCAATGATATCAAATTTCCACACGCTGCGGAGCTGATTTTGTTCAAGAATAGAAAGCACCTCTTGACGTTAAATTAAGATATTTGGAAATTTATTAATGGAAGAATTTCCAAAACCATCAATGATGTTCTTTCGTGCCGCGTCAATGATATGCAGTTTCCACACGTTCCTGGGCAGATTTTTTTCAAGCATCTCTTGACGTTAATTAAAGTTATTTGGATTTTTTATGGAAGAATTTCCGAAACCATCAATGAATTATTGATGTTTTTTCGTGCCGTGTCAATGATATGTAATTTCCACACGTTCCTGGGCAGATTTTTTTCAAGCATCTCTTGACATTAAATTTTAACATATTTGGAAATTATGTTCATGTCCCACCGTTTTTTTACCCAGGTCAATGCGGGGACGGATTTTTGGCACCATGCCCTCGGGAAGCACTGTCGCTGACCAGCTTGCACGTTCTGCAGGTGCGCATGGGGCACTCCGCAATTTGGCCCATGGCGACCCACTCACAAAGAATCTAGGCCGGGCGTGAAAGTTAATATAATTATAGCATATTATAGCCGATCCGGCGCTGTAGTCCGGCTGCTGAGACTCGCCAAGCCAGCTGCCTTGAAGAGGGCCCTAGCACCTTTTTTCTCAGCGCAGCATTCTAGCTAGGAAGTCTTGCCTAGCATTTCAAGGCGTCAGAAACAAAATATGGTTTGCCATCAAAAAATAAATTCAAGTGTTGAAATCATCAATCAAGCTGCCCTAACCCTTTTCTGCCATGCTCCCGGCTCACTTTCTGGCTATGTCATTTTCCTTGACTCTTTGCGGTGCCGGGACCTCACCGCTGCTCAACTAGATACAAAAAATATAGATGCTTGGACAAAAGTTGGTGCGCAGAATCGTCCAGCAACCTGCCCTCAAGGGTCCTGGTGGGTTGGTCACAACCAAAAGAAGACCTGGATCGCCCGAACTTTGGCGTCCGGGCGTCGTCAAGCAAGCTGGTTTGAAGATTTTCTGGATCCTTTTCTGCCAAGATTCTGGCTAGGAAGTTTTCTTCGGCTTTTGATTTTTTCCAAACAAATTGGGAAAAAAACGAGAGAACAAGAAAATTCGGGAAAAAATTGGCGTCTACAATTCTCAAGTAAGCTGCCCTGAAGAGGCTCCTGGCGGAGCTTCCTCTGCGAGAAGAGGCTCCTGGCAGAGCTTCTGCGCCAGGAAGCCGCCACGCTTCCTCGCAGCAAAAAGTGCGCCAGGAGGCGGCTTCCTGGCGCAGAAGCTCTGCCAGGAGCCTCTTCTCGCAGAGGAAGCTCCGCCAGGAGCCTCTTCAGGGCAGCTTACTTGAGAATTGTAGACGCAAAATGTTGCCCGAATTTTCTTGTTTTTTCGTTTTTTTCCCAATTTGTTTGGGAAAAATCAAAAGCCGAAGAAAACTTCCTAGTCAGAATCTTGGCAGAAAAGGATTCAGAAAATCTTCAAACCAGCTTGCTTGACGACGCCCGGACGCCAAAGTTCTGGCGATCCAGGTCTTCTTTTGGTTGTGACCAACCCACCAGGACCCTTGAGGGCAGGTTGCTGGACGATTCCGCGCACCAACTTTTGTCCAAGCATCTATATCTTTTGTATCTAGTTGAGCAGCGGTGAAGTCCCGGCACCGCAAAGAGTCAAGGAAAATTACATAGCCAGAAAGTGAGCCGGGAGCATGGCAGAAAAGGGTTAGAGCAGCTTGATTGATGATTTCAACACTTGAATTTACTTTTTGATGGCAAACCATATTTTGTTTCTGGCGCCTTGAAATGCTAGGCAAGACTCCTAGCTAGAATGCTGCGCTAAGAAAAAAAGTGCTAGGGCCTTCTTCAAGGCAGCTGGCTTGGCGAGTCTCAGCAGCCGGACTACAGCGCTGGATCGGCTATAATATGCTATAATTATATTAACTTTCACGCCCGGCCTAGATTCTTTGTGAGTGGGTCGCCATGGGCCAAATTGCGGAGTGCCCCATGCGCACCTGCAGAACGTGCAAGCTGGTCAGCGACAGTGCTTCCCGAGGGCATGGCATGACCTGGGTAAAAAAAACGGTGGGACATGAACATAATTTCCAAATATGTTAAAATTTAATGTCAAGAGATGCTTGAAAAAGAACGTGTGGAAATTACATATCATTGACACGGCACGAAAAAACATCAATAATTCATTGATGGTTTCGGAAATTCTTCCATAAAAAAATCCAAATATCTTGATTTAACGTCAAGAGATGCTTGAAAAAAAATATCTGCCCAGGAACGTGTGGAAACTGCATATCATTGACGCGGCACGAAAGAACATCATTGATGGTTTCAGACATTCTTCCATTAATAAATTTCCAAATATCTTAATTTAACGTCAAGAGGTGCTTTCTATTCTTGAAAAAAATCAGCCCCGCAGCGTGTGGAAATTTGATATCATTGACACGGCACGAAAGAACATCATTGATGGTTTCGGAAATTCTTCCATTAATAAATTTCCAAATATCTTAATTTAACGTCAAGAGGTGCTTTCTATTCTTGAAAAAAATCAGCCCCACAGCGTGTGGAAATTTGATATCATTGACACGGCACGAAAAAAAACTCAATAATGCATTGTTTTTCCGGAAATTCTTGCACGTCAGTCGATTTCATTTATTAGTTTCAACATTTTTTACAGAAAAAACAAGGTTTCACAACTCATGGATTGCCTCACCGCCCATCCTTTGTGCCACTTCCTTGCTGACAATCACACCTGGCCAAAACCCCAAAAAGACCCCTGAATACGAAAAAATAAGTTTCCCGCAACCCCATAAAGACCCCTGAATTGGAGAAAATGAGTTTCCCGCAACCGCAAAATGACCGCCAGGAGGCAGGGGGTAAGCTGCCTCCTGGCGCCGTTTTTGGGCCCATCATATAGCCCTAAACGCACATCACTATACGTAGGTACGTAGGTACGTAGGTACGTAGGTACGTAGGTAGGTAAGTAGGTAGGTAAGTAGGTATGTAGGTAGGTATGTAGGTATGTAGGTATGTAGGTATGTAGGTATGTAGGTATGTAGGTATGTAGGTATGTAGGTATGTAGGTATGCAGGTATGTAGCTATGTAGCTATGTAGGTATGTAGGTAGGTAGGTAGGTATGTAGGTATGTAGGTATGTAGGTATGTAGGTTTGTAGGTATGTAGGTAGGTAGGTAGGTAGGTAGGTATGTAGGTATGTAGGTATGTAGGTATGTAGGTATGTAGGTATGTATGTATGTATGTATGTAGGTATATGTATGTATGTATGTATGTATGTATGTATGTATGTATGTATGTATGTATGTATGGTAATGTAATGTAATGTAATGTAATGTATGTATGTATGTATGTATGTATGTATGTATGTAGGTATGTATATGTATGTATGTATGTATGTATGTATGCATGTATGCATGTATGTATGTATGTACGTACGTACGTACGAACAAATGAATGCATGCCTATGTATGTCTATGTATGTATCTGTATGTATGTGTACGTATATATGTGTATATGTATGTGTATGTATATGTATGTACATGTATGTATATGTATGTATATGTATGTATATGTATGTATATGTATGTATATGTATGTATATGTATGTATATGTATGTATATGCATGTATTAGTATGTATTAGTATGTATTATATAGTATGTATCAGTATGTATTAGTATGTATTAGTATGTATTAGTATGTATTAGTATGTATTAGTTTGTATTAGTATGTATTCGTATGTATTAGTATGTATTAGTAAGTATTAGTATTTATTAGTATGTATTAGTATGCAATTGGTTTTCCCATTGATAATAAGAAAGTCTGGATGATATTGGGGCACCCCCATTTTAGGAAATCTCACATATTGTATTTAGTCGCCATGGCTTCCGGCTACCCCCACCTAGCGCGGTGCGCGCATCCGTGCGCGCAATGATCAGAAAGTCGGGCGAGCTGCGTGCCTCGCCAAGTGAGCCATAGAAAATATCCCTATCCCATCCTACTTGTCCGGTTGGTTAATACATACCCTCTGGTAAACTAACATAACTATGGAAAATCACCATTTTCAATGGGTAAATCCACTATAAATGGCCATTTTCGATAGCTATGTTAAATTACCAGAGGGTATTCCCATTTTTGGTTTTCATACTCCTCGTCATTGCAAATAAAGTAGGATACTTTATGCAGTTGGTTATATATCCCATTGTACTCACAGACTCACAGTGTATTATGTGTATTGCTATGCTGTGCGCTATTTTCCCATATTTTGCCATATGGGTCTGACGGTCTGTCTGAAATTAGGGTAGCCTTAAATCCCATCATTTATCATCATTTGTTTGTATTACACTAGCCGTTTAGGGGTGTACCCCATTTTCAGACACACCCAAATCCGCCGGCCTGCCGGCGTGTCTTGTGGATCTTGCTTGTTCGTAGTTGTACTGTCTGTTTTGTCTTTGGTCTTTGTCTTGTCTAGACTTCCCCCTTGGCGGCGGATTTTTGCCTCCTCTAACTTGAACCCCCCCTCCCCCCCCACTAGCTCTTCTTCGTTTCGTCTTGATCTTTCCTTACGTTGTGGTGGTTTCAACTCTGCCCACGCCTCGCTCAACACCGGCTTGGTTTTGCACATCTTGCTGTCATTTCGATGGTTGTCTCCGTTTTTTTGTTGTGTTTGCCATCGGTTTGCTCCGTCGCTTCTTATATCCAATACTTGATCCACTGGCTTTTGTGCCGAACACCTTTGGCACGCATAACCTTCCTAAATATGGCCTTTTCCAAACCGTTCTCAATAATATGGCCTTTTCCAAAACCCTGGTTTACACACATGCTTTGGTTTAAACTTGAACCGTGGTTTGAACAAAACCAATGACTTTGCGTCCAAACCATCTTTTACACAAAGAGCTGTTTTACACAAAAACTGTGTTATCTATAAACACAATGTTTTACACAAAAACCATGTTCTTGCTAGGCCTGTGCAAGGGCTGTTTGCAGCCTAATAGCTCTTTCCATGGTGGCCGGCGGAACACGCCGAAGGCGGCTACATAATTGTGGTTGGTTACATACATCATTACATCCTTACATCCCTATTACATCCCCATTGCATATCCCTAGTTAGTAAAATAGACATATATATATATATATATTGAGGTCTGCCCCCGCCCACTAACAGTTCAAAACTGCCCCCCTTTCATAAACCACATGCCAAAAAAGCACAATCATATTGGTGGTAACTCAGGCCATTTTAGGGGATCCTTAGGGTCTGCTTAGGAGAAGATGTGATCTAGGTGGGCCGTACAAGTAACAAAGGGTGGAGTAGTGAATGCAACAACATCACTACCTTTCAGGTGGCATTGTTTGTGGTTAAAACATTTAAATCATTTTAACGAACATCCTTTTGTATTGCGCCATATTGTTGGAGCCATCAGGACATGTTTGCTGAACTTGTCATCAACTAGCCAAAGAATCAAAGTATCGATGTTGCTGTTGATATCCTTTGATGGTTGGAACGTTGGAATGGTTCTGGGAAGTCTGACAGCTGACATGATTTTGTTTATCTGAATATTTGTGTGTCAAATAGCAATGGCAATGATATGGTATGATGATGCAAGGTGTTGCATCGATATGATGATACGATATTATGACTCATGACATTCTTTACAATATTGAATGCAGCATACCTGACATACCTGAGATACCGAGATACTGCAATCAAACGGTCCAACCATTGTAAGTTATAAGTGAAAAGCGTTACAAAGGCGTGCCTCCAACAATAGTTGTTGAGGTTCTTAATAAACATCATATGATAATTACATTTTTTTTCACATTCCCGCTCCTGGCATGGGCTCACTCTTGAGAGTTTTTTTTGGAAAGGAGGTTGGAAAAAAGGAAATGGTATGAGACATTTGCCGGGCCGCTGGTCCGAAGGCTGTCGAGGCCAGGTGGCCTGAGATTCATTTTTTCCAGAGAAATTGTGCTTTTTTCGTGCTTTTTTCGTGCTTTTTTTGTGCTTTTTTGTGCTTTTTTTTGTGCTTTTCCGGCGCTCCCGAGCACAAAAAAAAGCACAAAAAAAAGCACAAAAAAAAGCACAATTCATACCACAAAAAAAAGCACAAAAAAAAACACAATTCATACCACAAAAAAAAGCACAAAAAAAAACACAAATCATGCGCGTTTCCAGCCCGTTCGCATGTGAAATTGTGAAGGGAAACTATTATCTAATTTGTTTTCAATTGCCAGAAAGCACAAAAAAAAGCACAAAAAAAAACACAATTCATACCACAAAAAAAAGCACAAAAAAAAGCACAATTCATACCACAAAAAAAAGCACAAAAAAAAGCACAATTCATACCACAAAAAAAAGCACAAAAAACAGCACAATTCATACCACAAAAAAAAGCTCAAAAAAAAGCACAATTCATACCACAAAAAAAAGCACAAAAAAAACCACAAATCATGCGCGTTTCCAGCCCGTTCGCATGTGAAATTGTGAAGGGAAACTATTATCTAATTTGTTTTCAATTGCCAGAAAGCACAAAAAAAAACACAATTCATACCACAAAAAAAAGCACAATTCATACCACAAAAAAAAGCACAAAAAAAAGCACAATTCATACCACAAAAAAAAGCACAAAAAAAAGCACAATTCATACCACAAAAAAAAGCACAAAAAAAAGCACAATTCATACCACAAAAAAAAGCACAAAAAAAAGCACAATTCATACCACAAAAAAAAGCACAAAAAAAAGCACAATTCATACCACAAAAAAAGCACAAAAAAAAGCACAATTCATACCACAAAAAAAAGCACAAAAAAAAGCACAATTCATACCACAAAAAAAAGCACAAAAAAAAGCACAATTCATACCACAAAAAAAAGCACAAAAAAAAGCACAATTCATACCACAAAAAAAAGCACAAAAAAAAGCACAATTCATACCACAAAAAAAAGCACAAAAAAAAGCACAATTCATACCACAAAAAAAAGCACAAAAAAAAGCACAATTCATACCACAAAAAAAAGCACAAAAAAAAGCACAATTCATACCACAAAAAAAAGCACAAAAAAAGCACAATTCATACCACAAAAAAAGCACAAAAAAAGCACAATTCATACCACAAAAAAAAGCACAAAAAAAAGCACAATTCATACCACAAAAAAAAGCACAAAAAAAACAAAGTCATTTTCCTTTTTTTCCTGCGCCAGTTTCTGCTTTTTTTTGTGCTTGTTTTGTGCTTTTTTCTGCTTTTTTCTGCTTTTTTTCTGCTTTTGGAAAGTCGCTGCTTTTAAAGCATTTTCAATTGGCCAGCCCGGCCCAGCTCCAGCCCCCACCTCAGCCAGCCAGCCCGCCAGGGCTCTAGTCCCCCAGCATTCCCCAGCTCCCAGGCTCCAGCCCCCAGGCTCAGCCCCCAACCCTTGCCCAGGGTCAGTCCAGCAGCCCCGGCCTTTATATGTATTGTACACACACATTCTATTGTTTTGCTATCGGCGCTGCGATGGGCAACATTCTAAACCCTAACAGAATTACTTTTCCATCGGCATTGTGGTGGGCAGCATCCTACACCCTAACCAGTGTTGCTGTGCCATCAGCGCTGCAATGGGCAGCATCCGAAACCCTAAACAGTATTGCTTTGCCATCATCGCTGCAATGGGCAGCATCCAAAACCCTAAACAATATTGCTTTGCAATCAGCAGCATCACTACCCACAAGGTGCTGACAAGCTGGATGCATGAGGCATCCCATTGGAAATGCCAATGTCGAATTTTGACAGCAAGGACTTCTGGGCATGGCAAGAAAATGTGCCGACCGTGGAGCCAACTTGCAGGGAATATGCCTGGTCATCTAGCCTTAATAAGGGGAAATGAAAGTCATATTGGGGACTACAACCTGATTTTTTTTGTGCTTTTTTTTGTGGTATGAATTGTGGTCACTGTTAGTGTCACGAGGCAGAGCCCAATATATATATATATACATTTTATTTCAGATATGTATAGGTATATATATAGGGCCTAGGGGCTTAAGTATACGTTTCTGCAAGGAGGAATCAATTTGCACCTACAAATATATAGCGACGGACTCTTTCATGTATATCCATAATATTTTAGGTATGTATAGGTATAGGGCCTAGGGTTCTAAGTATACGTTTCTGCAAGGAGGTATGGCAGATCTTTGATGTATATTATATTGTTTTTTTTATTACTTGTGTGTTATTGATTGGTTCTAAGCACAGGGGTTCTAAGTAAAGGTTTGTGGATTCTAAGAACAAAGGTTTAAAGTAAGGTTTTTTTTTGCTTAGTTATATTTTGGAAAATATTTTGGTTCTAAGTCTAAGTCCGTCGCTATATACTTTAAAACAATATATACTTTAAAACGCGCGTTGAAGGAGCATGTGGTTGTTCTGGATTGGCGCGTCTCCTGTTCTGTCCACTCGCAAGGCACCTTGGCAACTTCTTCCGCCCGTTTGCCATCTGTCCTCCAAGACATCCAAAGCTCAGTCTATCAACTGGCTAGCCTGCCCAAGCTACTGAACCCCGACTGCAGTAGGTATTATGCGCTGTCCTTTCTTCTTTTCCTTGCATGGCTGCGTCTTCAATCTCTGCAGGCTTTTCGGCAACATCTTGTCTTGCGGGTTTCTGATTGTCCTCGCTACCGAAGCGGGAAGCGGAAAGCATTGCACAGGCAAACGCGCAGGCCTTGCTTCTTGCCCGGCTGCTTGCGGCTGTCTCTGCCACTATCGCGATGGTGTCCGCGATGGCGTGGGTGTTTTGGGCTGCTGGTGGTCCAGGCTCGCTCCTGCACACATGAAAGCAAAACCGAAAGAGTTGCAGAATCCATGAGCAATCGGCCCAGCGTTTCCCTGGTTAGCACTGTTGCCTCTTCTCGCTTTTTGCCTGGGCGCCTCAGCTCGCATTTGCCAACTTTTCACAAGTTCGACTGACATCATCAACAATTCAACACATGACATCCTG